TTTTTTTTTGAGCTGAGGATCGAACCCAGGACCTTGCGCTTGCTAGGCAAGTGCTCTACCACTGAGCTAAATCCCCAACCCTGTAAATCCAACTTAATAACACTTATGGGTTGTTTGCTTATTTACCATGAAAAGCAAGATCAGTGCCGATACACAAAGAAGGCTCAGATTTATATGTCAAGTGGTGAAGTCAGTTTCTTTGGCTTTAAATATCATATGTACCTTATGGCTCATCAGGAAATGAGCAACCTCAGTAAAGCTCTGCAGTGCTGGTAACTAGCTTGTGGTATTAGAAAGCACCCAGCCTTGAGATTGAGATAGTTAGTTCTAGCTTCTCTGCCATAAACTAGTAGTGTGACCTCAGGAAAGCATTTCTCCAAGCCTGTTTCCTCTTCTGTAAAATGATTCCTATTTTATAAGGCTGGTGTAAAAGTTTAACAAGGTAGTGTGTATCAGTTGCCTAGCACAGCACCTGGCATTCACTATGTGTGCCACCATCATTCATCTTTCCCCCAATATGATTCATTTATTTTTTGTGCCCTTTTAAGTTTTAGTTCTAGGAACAAAGCTTTATTCCCTATTCTATATTTGACTGCAGCCTGGGACTGCCTTTTCTTGTCCCTTCTTCCCTCAGTTAACTAGCAACCTCCCAAACTAGCTTATGTGATCCTCTGTGGCACTCCTCTGGCACACTGAGCACCCCCTCTCAGCAATAATCACATTGTATGGTAGTATTTTTCAGGATGTCATTTTCTGAATGCCATCCTCAGCAGACCCATTTTAGATCCACCCTTAGTGATTTCTTCCTTAAAACAATGGATTCTTGGCCCCTACTCCTGATATAATTAATTAGACTGTCTGGGAACATAAATAAACTTACGTTTGTGACAGGCTTCTCAGGTTATTCTGATTCACACAAAAGTTTAATGTATAATAATTATCTTCCCGACTAGAGTGGGAATACCTTGAGGGTAAGGACTGTGGTTTTTGTTGTTGTTGTATTTTTAATACCTAGCACAGTGTCTGGAACAAAGTAGTTGCCTGGCTAATGTTTCTTAAAAGAATGTATGAATGAACAAATGAATAATCAAAATTGCTCTGTTTGACTGTGATGTCCATTAGTGGTATTTGTTATTCTTGGGCAAGTTGGTTACTTATTTAGTCTGTATTGATATTAGTTTGTAAATGTACCAGGGCTCATACATACAAATGAACATTGTTCCAAATTGGCAGTTATCATGGAGAATTGTCTTTGGAGCATGTGGTACCATTCTCCCAATAACATTTCATGTTTTCATGAACTTCAATGAACTTTGTTGTTCTTTGAAGGTAGATTAAGTTTTCATTATAGGAAGAGTTAAGCCTACTGAAATAGGCTACTGAAATATAAACTGGGAAATTCAATAGGGTTTGTGGTAAGCAATGAAGCTTGACTCTGAAATCCCAACTTCTGAGGCACATAATTGAAATGCCTTCCAAGAAACAACATGGTGGCAGATCACTCAGAGGGCTATGATGGGTTTCAGATATTTACTTCAGTAAACTTAAGGACTTTCATAAAATACTGGCAATGGCAGGGACCAGAGGCTACCTCTAGCTAAAGCCAGTTGCACAAACGGAACATGACCTACATTTAACATCTTCAAGAAATGTGATTCCATAAACGTGGTTGTTGTTGCTTTACTTGATCTAACTATTCAGAACTTTTTCTCCTAGAAAATTATTTTCTGTCTGCAATTTATGCTTGTTTCCACTTTTTATATTGTCTTGTTGAAGAAAGCACAAAATAAAGCTAAGCTTGTTTTGAGAATACGAAAGAAATTTTAATGCCACATTGATGTTCTTGCTACTTGTAAGAGTAACTGCATCTGGCTGTGTTTTTATTATATAATTCCATTGTGTGTCTTTGGATGCAGTGAAGTTCATATTGCAACAAAATCACTTATACATGCTTTTCAGCTCAAGCATTCTAGGTGAATTCTCTCAGCTTTCATGGTTTACATATTTGTATATGACTACCTGGATGGATCAATTCATGGATGGACTTTTAAATAAGCTCAGATGCTGAAACCCCTTCTTTCAAGGAATGGAGAATGTGAGGCAGGTAGACATTAACCACTCCCGCAATTATTTGTAGCTCCTGAAGCCAATTCTAGCCTGAGAGCCATTGGGCTGTATTTGGCTGTGCATTACAAGTTGGCCAGATTTATTGCCATCAGGTCAGACAAAACTGCCTTTTATGGTGTGGTCTGCCAGCGTCAGAAATATGCTGTGTTACTGTTATTGGCTAGAATATTTATTAGATTATTGTTGGACTATTTTTTATCAAATGCTTTACCCCAGGCTTGTTTGTACTGGGAGCTCTGGACGAATAGTGTCTCTCCTAGTAACAGAAAAATGAGCATCTGTGGATTACACAGTTTCACCCCTCTCTAAAGATCCCAACCCATCCAAAATGCTATATTATGAATTAAATAAATATATATGTATTCATGAGTTGTTGTTTGTCTCTCATTGGAGTTTAATTGGGGAAAAGACTAAGTGGAAGATGGTCATGTGTTGCCAGAATTTGGTAAGTCGCTCAGGGAGGGGGGTGTGTGCACACCAACAATTGTGTAACTGGTAGAGATCTCAGCAAGTACAATCTAGGAGGTTTTAAATTTGAGGTCCAATCATGAAGACTTTGGTTTTAGGAGAAGGATATAGTCAAAACATCTAAAGAGATGAAGGTCCAAGGTCTAAGGGAACATGATTCATCTAGCTTCAGATACTGTAGCAGAAGGCAAGAATTTAACAATTAACCTCCTACTGCTAGAATCTATTAGTTAAGACCAGAACATGATCACAATTGAGATGACTGACTTACTGTTAAACATCTGGCCTGTAGGAGGACCTGGGAGAGTTAAAAGACTCATTGGGCCTGGATTGAACATATCCTATTCAAAGTTGCCATTTAGCTGAGACTAAGGGGTCATGTAACATGGAATGAACTAGTTAAGGAAGTAGAGAAATGACTTGAAGAAAGTGGTCAGACCAAGGATGCATAGCTCAGAGGCAAGTGAATTAATACACAAGACAAGAACTTGAAGCACTACAGGTTTTGTTGTTCAGCTTTCTACAGCTCCACATTGGAATGCCAAAATGTTGTTTTTTACTTTTTAGTCTTTGCTCTTTTGCTCTTTTGGGGGGCCAACCACCCAGCTCCCAAATAAATCACACATGGAGGCATATTATTACTTATAAGTGACTGGCCTTAGCTTGGCTTGTTTCTTGCCAAGCTTTTCTTAACTTAAAATTATTCCATCTACCCTTTGCCTTTGGGCTTTTCCCTTTTCTTATTTCTGTATATCTTACTTCTACTCTTAATTCCTGGCTCGCTGGTTGTGTGGCTGGGTGGCTGGCCCCTAGCATCCTCCTCTCTTCTCTTGCTCCTTCTTCTTTTTCTGTCCTCCTAGATTTTCCTTCTATTTATTCTCTCTTCCTGCAAGTCCTACCTATCCTTTCTCCTGCCTTGCTATTGGCCACTCAGATTTTTATTAGACCATCAGGTGTTTTAGGCAGGCACAGTAACACAGCTTCACAGAGTTAAACAAATGCAGCATAAAAGAATGTAACACATCTTTGCATCATTAAAGTAAATGTTCCATACCATAAACAAATGTAACATACCTTAAAATAATATTCCACAACATCAAAGTGCTTAGCATGGGTCAGGCACAGTCTGATAAATCCATCAACGAGAAGTCTTGGGATTAGGAAAGTACTCATTCTTGATAATCTGATGGTCTAGATTATAAATTTCATGAGGGCTAGGACTGTGTTTCTTATATTTGTTGCTGAGCTTCAGCACCTGATACATAGACACTACCAATACATAATTTGTTGAATAGATGAATGAATGAATGAATGAATGAACAATGTGAACAATAACTTAAACTAGTGCCTAGACCAAGACTCTTGCTTCTGCCATGTAAGAAATGTAGAAGTTCAGAGAAAAGTCTATATAGAGGAAGGTGGTACACAGGACAGGTAGGTTGCCCTTCCAAATGACCTAGGAAGTGGAATATTTTTGGCAATTTCTTATACAGATATGGAAATCTGTCAAACAGATGATCTGAAATTTAAAATGGAATTATGCTAAACCAGTATTTGTATCTTATAGTTAGTGAGTTAAGGAGTCTGGGAGGAGAGGTCTTAACAGGAAATCTCAAAAATAATAATGGTACAAATAGCAAGACATGATGATACCTGTAATTCCAGCACTCTGAAAGTCCGAGGCAAGCAGATATAGAGTTCTAAACCAGCCTGGGCAATACAGGGAGATTGTCTCAAAACAAACAAAACAACAACAACAACAAAACAAACAAAAAACCACATGTACAGGTGCTGGGGACATGAGTCAGCCCTTAAGAGCACTTCCTGCTATTCCAGAAGACCCTGGTTCAATTCTCAGCAACTACATGGCAGCTCACACCTGTCTGTAACTCTAGTTCCAGAGGATCTGATACCCTCACACAGATATACATGTAGGCAAAACACCAATGCACATAAATTAAAAATAAAAGAAAAAACATGTGTAAATATGTGGGGAAGATGGATACAGGTGCTCTGAGTAAAATAAAATGTGTGGAGGATTATTACCCTAAAAAAGAATCTTAGGGTGTTCATAAAGTAACAGTAACATTGTCTACCTCTATGTTGAATCCATTGTATTCTTGATGATTGTACCCAATATCTAACATTCTTGGTGGATTAGACTTATATAATTATATTC